TTTTGCACAGAACACCTTCTGCGTTGGCGGCCTTCGGCCGCACTTAGGGATTATAACCCTTACTAAGCAGAATTCTCCTTTCTGTGTTGCCGAAGAAGCGGGGGCAAAACCTTTTTGCACAGAACACTTTCTGCGTGGGCGGCCTTCGGCCTCGCTTAGGGATTATAACCCTCACTAGGTAGAATTCTCCTTTCTGTGTTGCCGAAGAAGAGGGGCGCAACACTTTTTTGCACAGAACACCTTCTGCGTTGACGGTCTTTGGCCGCGCTTAGGGATTATAGCCCTCGCTAAGTAGAATTCTCTTTTCTGTGTTGCCAAAGAAGAGGGGCGCAACACCTTTTTGCACAGAACACCTTCTGCGTTGGCGGTCTTCGGCCGCGCTTAGGGATTATAGCCCTCGCTAAGTAGAATTCTCTTTTCTGTGTTGCCAAAGAAGAGGGGCGCAACACCTTTTTGCACAGAACACCTTCTGCGTTGGCGGTCTTCGGCCGCGCTTAGGGACTATAACCCTCACTAAGTAGAATTCTTCTTTCTGTATTGCCGAAGAAGAGGGGCGCAAAACTTTTTGCACAGAACACCTTTTGCGTTGACGGCCTTCTGCCGCGCTTAGGGATTATAGCCCTTACTAATGATTATAACCCTTACTAAGGATTATAACCCTTACTAAGGATTATAACCCTTACTAAGAAAAAGGTTTTGCGCAAAAATACTGTGGATGGCGTAGCAGGAATTGGTCCGACCAGAGTTATTTTTTGAAATACTCTGATCTGCGAGGATTAAACACAACATGTTGTATACCAAACGAAAGCTTCATTTGTGCACTATTTATTAATAAGTTTTTTAACTGTAATTAATGCGGTACTTTTTAAAGAAAAATGTGTTTGTTTAAAATTTTTCGTAACTTTTTTTACATAAATTGGATTTTTGCTAAAACTTAAGAAGTTATATATAACGTTTACATATGTAGTTCAAGCGACTCACATTTCCTTTTAATGATATCAAAGATTTTAGAGTCCGTGCGAAGGTTTTCGAGATATTTGGATTTAAAAAAGCGCTCCATTTGACCTTTGACTTTTCATAACTGCCTTAGTTGTTGTTTCTGCATTAATAAAAGTATATTGTTTTATTTGTCTCAAAAACCTCTATCAACACTCATACCCATTTTTTAGTTTTTGCAATGTTCGGATTCTTAACTTATACCTTTAAACAAATCAAAAGTAGAAAGACCTATTTCTGGGAGAAGTAGCAAGAACTTGCAATTAGGATAAACATATGATTGCGAGACATGGCTGGATTTTTTGTGGACGATAAATTGAATAAACTAGTTAGTTAAATTTAAACACTTACAAACTTAAGCGTTTTTAAAATGAAAAATGTAACTAAATCCTGGTTTTCTTAATTAATTTAGTTGATTCCAATGATTTGAAAGGTACTCGGCTGAAAAAACTGTATTCGTAATCGGAATGCAATCTCAACCAGACTAGTGTTGGTTTTTTAAGCTCAAGTTGGCCTACGGTTTTTGGAATTTAAATAAGTTCTCAGCAAAGCATTTGATTTCATTGAGCGAAATGTCAAATCAAAATGTCACGCAGAACAAAAATTGGAAATTGAGTTAACTTTATACGCACGCCGTTCATACAAATTGTATGTGCAGGAGAAATTTTTGACAGTAAATTGGCGGCGTGCTTGAATATTATTAGCCTGTTAGTCAAAAATGGAAACATCCATATATATTTGAATTTTAAGAAAACAAGGCAATCGGCTAATCGGCTAAACCAAAATGTCTCCGGCAATTTGCTATCGCAACCGCAAAAGATTAAAATGGCAACACTGTACGGGACATTTGGGAAAAGACTTGCCCAACTAAAACTGCTCGCTAATCTTTAAAATAACATAACTCAAAACTGCGATGTGTTATAATGGTATTTTAGTTGCGATCCCATACGAGTCCGGACTAATCAGAAATAGTCAGATTTTACTGGAAATCGATCCCGTACTGGGTTCTCTTAGTATTGAGTGGATAAAAAAGAGGGTAAATAAGGTCATTTCTCTGTCAGAAAATACCAGTTCTAGTGGGACGTTTTTTTGCTAGTTGATTCTGGTAACTTAAAGGGAATTTACATGAGGCGATTTTTAGTTGAAAGCAACAATCGCCTGGTGTAAACGGCCTTTCAACTAATCGCTTTCAATGAAGTTGATCGGCTGCCTACTTTTGTTCAACTTTTGGTTCAACTAATCGGCTGTGAAAGTTGAATCATGTAAATTCCCTATTAGGGTTTACACCATGATCCAACTACACAAGATCTGACCAGATGAAGCAAAAGAAAAAAGTAATTTTCTGGCTGACGTTTGTAATTTGGGCGCCATGTTATTTTCTTTGAAAAGTAAACAAAGAATATGAAGACGAAGCATAAAGAAAAAATGCAAGCAATGTTGTAGCACATGTCTGTGTTAACCAATTTATTATTTTTGTACGTGTTTTTGCATCCAATCACCGCGCACTTCACTTTAATTACATTTGCACAAAAAATTTATTGAAAATCGCTTAAAAATCACTGAAATAAAACACCGACAAAATACACATAAAGAAAGGAGCAAAACAGAAATAGCAAACTTAAAAATTACAAACGTCATACACTTTTTTCTCAATTGCCATTACAAAAGGCTGCTTCTCAACCGGTCAGATCTGTTCTAATTGGTTCATGGGTTTATACCGACCGGACAATACTGTCATGACAATAGGAATGTTTGATATCGTATCGATTATTATGAATATCGATATATCATGGCACGATAATCGATTTTTTGAATCGATATTCCAAGGTCGATATATCGAAGACATCGATACTTTACCCGCAATATCGATATTTAAGTTGAATTTTTTTTTCATCTACAAAAAAGTGTATGGGAAAATACTAAAGAAAGTTTAATCAGCGCTTGTGTGAATTATTTAGCTATTACGTTTGACAAACCACTTGAGTCGACCGGCATGCCGTTTTAATCCTCAGTAAATATACAAGTTGGAAATAACACAATTAGGTGAGTTGATAGGCAGGTCTAATATTCTATTCAATTGGAAGCATGATTTTCAACATCGATTTTTTCGATATCGATATTGTTCAGCCCGATATATCGCCATATCGATTTTACATGCAATGAATTAATTCGATTCATGATATCGATACTTTCTTAAATATCGAACATTCCTACATGACAATAGCAATAAATGCATACTTTTCCATTGGAACAATTTTGGCAACTAATACGTATATCTTCATTATCTTGACAGCATTGTCCAATGTAAAAGGTTTGTTCTTAACAGCGGTCGTCCCTCGTATTTCTGCCATGAAAAACAGCTTCTCAAAATACAATCGCCGTTCGGAGTCGGCGTAAAACTGTAGGTCCCTCCGCTTTGTGTGACAACATCCACAAATCGGAGAAGAAGCTCGGCCAAACACTAACATATGTGTAAGCGCCAATCTATTATTATTATTATTGTCCAATGTAAACGCGCCGTAAATGTGTCAAACGATCAATCGTATTGTTTTTGACAACCAAATTATAACAAAAGAAAATTGTACTCTGCCAACATGATGCAATAATACAGGTGTTATCAGTTGGCAACTTCTCGCTCTAATTCCGCCATATTGACTGCCTTAGGNACACATTTTTTTTCTTAAAAAGGTATTTTATCTTATTTTATTTCCTTTCATTACGAATATACTATAAAAAAGCAAATTTTGTTTAGGAAAAAATGTGAAATTTTATATTTTTCCCCCAAATGGGGCTTAATTTCTTCCCGTTTTTCTTCTCGTTCTACTGAGCTAAGGCAGTGTCAAATCGAGCTGTCACAATTGATACCACCTTGTATTATTGCATCATGTTGAAAAGTATTTTTTAATTGTTTAAATGGATTCTAATGAATTTGAAGGTATTTTTGGTTATTTACATGTGTGAGCTGAGTGTATTTACATAAAAAATAAGCAAAAATTCACAACCAAAATATGGAGGTTGTGTTGAAGTTTTTGGACTTTTACCCCTTTTGAAGAAGGTGTGCGATATTTTTACATCAGTGCAAACCACTCTGCCCATTACTTTAGACCGCTCTGCTAGACTATAAAATTGTGAATGGGTTGCGCCTTAAATTACTACCCTTTATTATTTAAAAGGAAGATCTAATAAAATCGATTTATCGGCCAACCAGTTGGCTAACCGCTAGAAGTTGGTGGTAAATAAGCCGTGTGTAGGCAATTGGCAAACCTGCGTCAAGTTGTTATTCAGGTTGGAGTAAAATCAAAAATTTTTGATTTTTGAGGCAGATTGGTCAACTTGTTGCTCTGTGTGTAGACAAGTTGGCAACCTTAAATGCGATTTCATTTTTTTAAAGGCGCATCAACGTTAACATGTGTTTTTCGGTTCGTTACGCTAGTGAAAATGCGTATAAGTTATGAAAATGGGGGCGGTAGCAATAACAAATACATAAAAATGAGAAGCATTCCTAGCATAGCTCAAAAGTTTGCCAGTGGTGTTGTGTTGGTCACAGTTCAAAAAGTCTCACTCAAATGAATTCGGCCAACTGGTTGGTGCGTTTGTAGGGAATTTCGTTAAGTAGGTTGGTCTACTGGTAGGCCGATAAATCAATGCGTGTGTAGGGTCTTAAATGAACGCACGGGATTAAACGCGTCCACTTTATTCTACTAACTGACATAAACTGAATTGCGAACGGTACAAAACGATGAAAGCATTCCTTTCAAAGACATTTTCAATTGTATAAGCATCAATGAAACTCAATTTATTTTTTATTTGCCTAAGTTCAAACAGTATGCTCGCGATACATGTATGTAACATACGTCGTGAAACACAAAAAAGCTAACGGAAGTGGAAATTGTATTTCTATTATTAAATACTCTACACTTTTGTCAGTTGTTGCCTCACAAATATAATTATGCGGTAACTCGAACGAATCATTACTTTTTAGCTGGGTATTTCTTTCAACTTACTTAAAATTTCCAACTATTTTTCTTTGGTATTCCGGATCTTCATGCGGTGGGCGCGCCATATCACGGTGGCTGAGTGTGGGAGTCGATGTAGTGCTCGGCGTTTTGCTATCTTCATCCTCGTCTTCGATTTCCGTATAGTAGAATTCTTCTTCGTGGTCATTTTCGCTACATGATTCATCATAATCTGCAGAACGTCGTGCCTTTTTATTGCTGTAATTAGAAATATATTGCTAGGTTATGTAAGTATGTACTCACATATCGTTATAAGCATGAATATGTTAATGATTAAAAAAAAAAATTAAAACTTTGTGTTGCTGTAACAGTAATTGGCTTAAAAACACGTGAATAATTGTGCACGCTAACTGCCGTTTGTTTGCGAGGAGCATGAGTCTAAGAATTCGTGCATTCAAAATTTACGATTACAAATCACGCCAAATGGCACCAATACTTACAATATGCTATTCACGTACATATAAGTTTTTCTAGTGCTTTAATTCATCTCGTGTATGACGAACACAAAAATTGTGCATGCATAACTACTCTCGTGTGTTTTGGCCCATTCAAGGAATCTATTACAATTTGTACAATGCAACCTCGCTGGTTATAAGCAACTGCTAAACAGAGATGGCAATGTTATGTAGAGCAGCTACACAGGTATTGCTGTGCCAACAGTGAGGAAAGAAATAACGCGATTGTTCATTTCGCATTCGTGTAGTTGATTTGTCGCCGTGTGGTGCTGCTATTAAAGTAAAGTTCTTGTTTTTGCGAATATATTTTGTGGGGAGATATATGCTATTGCAAATAAATGCTAATAAAATAGTTTCAAAGTATGAAAAAGTTCTTAAAGTAGTTTCTGAGAATGAATTAGAGCTTTATGTTAAAATATTTGCTGGCAAATTTTGTAATCGAGTAACCTAAAACGTGTTCGCAACAAAGAAACCTCTGTAAAAGAAGAAGACAAAACGCCATCAATCGAAGGACGGCCAACAAAGCTGGGAAAACTGCAGACAGCAAATCAATAGCAAATAAAATTTAACCCATCGATAATTACAATACTGGTAGATATATCTGACGGAAATATTAAGTGACTTGCGATTATATCCATTAATAATCTCCTTTCGATTTATTACATTAGCCCCAAAGTTCACCGTCACTATTGGGATTAAAGGTACTTTTGGATCAAGTACCTACATATATTCTTCAGCAATTGCGTCTACATATATGTACATTTGTATACTGTGCAGTCATTACTCTGGCATTGCAGCTTAGGCACTGCACGAGCGTAAATTGTTTTATAATCTAAGAAATTTAGAAAAGCGCATTATTTGGTTGGAGGAACGTAAAACGACGTCGTTAGCAAAAACTCAGTAAAGTCAATTAATAGTTAGTAAGACAAAAGAATTGTAGCGGCATCATTGAAAATTGTGGCATTCGTGAATTCAGAGCAAACATGTCAACAAATATCGATAACGCTCCTGACCGTGTAGAACGTAACAATTCGTCTTCATCCCTATGTGTATTAAACGCTAGTGGTCATTGTAAAACTAACAGTGGCGTATTTATAGTCTCCAACAATGGGGGCACCAGTGGTGGGGGTAATGGAGGTCTTGGTGCAAACGGCACTTGTAATTTTAATGGTGTCGTAATAAGCGAAGTTGTTGATGAAGCGAAACTTAAATTTAGTAGCAAATATAAAAACAGTTGTACGCTACTATGCATATACGATCCCCAAGGAGTTTTGCTTAAAATCACCCTTGGTAAGTACAGTACTTATTATTTATTAACACATATAAAATTATGATAGTGTTTTAAATTTTTAAAATTGTATAAACTTTGCTCTGCTAATGCACATATCTCGCTTTTTTTAGATAATGATACTTCGAATGTACTCAAAGAGTACTTGCTTACTTACGACACAGATGCTGCTCAAATAGGTCGCCAAACGTTTGCACTTTCTTTGGATGGTGATAATTTACTTATGCGCTTTACATCAGTTTATGGTAAGATATAAATATTACACATATATATAGTAACAAAAATCACTAACACAATTAATTGGATTTTATAGAACAGCAGCGGTTTCGAAAGTTAGTCGATAGCGTAAAACATCTCCGACCAAAATCAGTATTTTCACAACGAACTGAAGAGTCTTCCGCTTCACAGTATTTCCAATTTTATGGGTATTTGTCGCAGCAACAGAACATGATGCAAGATTACGTTCGCACCAGCACATACCAGCGCGCAATACTCGGCAATTCTCTTGACTTTCATGTAAGAAATTTTTGCCTTAAGCTTTACATAAAATACTTATAGTTTACTTCATCTTGCAGAACAAAATAGTGTTAGATGTGGGGGCTGGTTCGGGTATTCTATCGTTTTTCGCAGTTCAAGCGGGGGCTGCTAAAATATATGCAATAGAAGCATCTAATATGGCACAATACGCACAGCAACTGGTAGATTCAAACAATGTCCAAGACAAAATTTTTGTTATGCCTGGTAAAATAGAAGAAATTGATATTCCTGAGATGGTTGACGTAATTATATCAGAGCCAATGGGATATATGCTCTATAATGAGCGCATGCTGGAAACGTATCTGCACGCCCGAAAATGGTTGAAACCTAATGGAAAAATGTTTCCTACACATGGTGATTTACATATAGCACCTTTCTCTGATGAATCACTCTATTCAGAACAATACAATAAAGCCAACTTCTGGTATCAGTCTGCGTTCCATGGTGTCGATTTAACTACGCTACACAAAGAAGGCATGAAGGAGTACTTCCGTCAGCCGATTGTCGACACTTTCGATATACGTATTTGTATGGCAAAATCAGTGCGGCATGTTTGTGATTTTCTCCGAGACAATGAGAATGATTTGCACAATATAGGTATTAAAATCGTAAATAGTATTACTTTATGGAATGTTAATGTTTTTTTTTGTTTACTTCAGAAATACCTCTACAGTTCCATATTTTGCAAACCGGTATCTGTCATGGTCTCGCCTTTTGGTTTGATGTCGAGTTTTGTGGTTCTAGCCAGCAGGTTTGGCTCTCTACATCGCCAACAGCACCACTGACGCACTGGTACCAAGTCCGTTGTCTACTACCAATGCCTATATTCATAAAACAAGGTCAACTTTTGACGGGACGTGTTTTGCTTGAGGCAAATCGAAGGCAGTCTTACGACGTGACAATCGATTTGCACATCGAAGGAACCTTAATATCATCCAGTAATACATTGGATTTAAAAAATCCTTACTTCAGGTACACAGGTGCCCCGGTTCAAGCACCACCTGGAACTAGTTCACAAAGCCCATCAGAGCAATACTGGTCACAATTGGACGCCACCCAGGGAGTTAGAAATGGTAATTATGTTGTATTATTTTCTGGATCAGTGTACTAATTTATGAATATGCATTTTATCTTAGCAAACAACTTAGCAAATGGTATAACTGTTAATGGGCTTTCGGAAACTTCAATGGACATCACTCATACGCTTATGAATCCACACAATTAAATGAAGCATATACAAATACTGGCGAGTTAAGAAGAAAAACAATTTTAAATTTTTAAGTGAAACGCTTGGTTTATCACAGTACCAAATAAGTTATCATTCATGCATCAAGGTTAACTCTAATCTAATATTTATTTTTTGTTTATGATAAATGCTTGTAATGCTCGGTAGGTACACACAAACACAAAGGACTTTTAAAAATGGACGAAAATAATGCTTTAGAAATTTCTTTTGTGATTATTTGCCAGGAATTTATATAATCTCGAAATAATTGTTGTAAATACACGTATACAAGTAACATTTATTTTAAGTGCAACTATTCATACACCAACCTATAGAAACTGTTTAGTAATATGAAGAAATTGCAGTGATTGGCGTTATATGCTAAACATTAAGGAACAATCATGGCAGACTAAAAATGTATAGATGTTGTGCTTCTTTAGTAGCACTTGCACTAAATAAATCATGTGTTGAATTACTCATATAAAATACAAAGTAGCTTAAATGCACGCGCCCTATGCTCATAGCTATGCGAAATTTTTAAGGATACTTTTTCGTGTAATCAAAAAATATGTTTATTACAGTAGGAAAATATGGTAAGCGCTTGAATTAGATTTGAAAAAATTCGAATTATGTTGGCCTAAAAATTGAACATACCCCGCGTTAAAGTTCGATTGGTAAAAATTATTTCCCAGGGTTAGTAGCTAAGCATTTTACGCATTTACATAACGTTTTATCCTTAAAGAGACTGTATCTGTTCACGTATTTCAAGTTTAATTAAATATTTTTAATTTGCTGTGCTTTCGTTTACAAACATTTTTGTTTTATTTTTTAGCCCTTTAGAATTCCTTCATCGCCCGCAAAATGAATTCAATTAGTTAAAATTTAAATATTTATACTTATTTATATTAAGCATATCAATAATTTCCATCTTAGTTAAATTTTTAATTTTGGGTAAGACTAAAGAGCCAGGCGTTTTTTTGCTTTTATGTATATTAGCACTATACGTACCACGTTTTATCAATAGTCTTTATTAATATAGGCTGTAGTTCATAGTTCCTAGTTGTAAGCATCTACGTATCTCTAATTTTCATAAACATTTTAAAAACCGTGGCGAGCTGTTTACATTTAAGCATTAAATAATATAAAAACAATATTTAAAAATATATACAAATATGCTCCATGTATCCATGTATAAAACTACGCATTTCATATTTACATTATTCAACGAATTAAAACAATTTGTAAATTATTCCTTCTCCCCATTTTTCAAGAGTTGGAAATTGTAATCATTTACAGTTTTTATTATAAATATTTCCTTAATATCGAGCAAAATTCAATTACGTAGATTGTTAAGTTAATTTTTAAAGAAAAAAAAAAATATACCCCTATATTTGAACAACAAAATTTCAAAGCTAGAATCTAAATAAAACAAAAACAATACTAATCCTACTTAGTTAGATATTTAATTTTTAAACATATGCATACATATTATCATTGTATTGTATAACCATTCGATGTTTAAGTATATGAGAAAGGATGATATTGAAATAAAGTCCGCTTTGTATTAGTGTGCAGTGTTGTAAGATCTATATCTATAATTATAAACGCGAAAATAGATCTGAATGAAAAACAACAATTTGATTTTTGTAATTACTCGTCTATGTTAATGTAAAAACCTTGGACGCATGTAATGCTTCGATTTGCAATTGTGGGCGATGGTTAATGAAAAGGCTTCCTGAAGTGCAGTGCTAGAGTATAAAACCTTGGCCTCAAATACATACTAACATTAGCACATAGGCACGAGTCACGAATGATAACGGATACGCGGGGGTATTCGCCCTGCACAAATGGCTTACACTAATGATGTTTGTATGTACGTACATATATTGGTGGTTCGTCCTTTTTTTCATTTAGAAACTTGCAGTGTATGTACTGCATGTACATATGGGCAACAACGTTCATATCCATATTTACACACATATACTATATATCTGTTGTCATAAGGAATAACCGCCTAAGTCGACCTAAGAATGAATTTAGATATATATGCTATCATAGTTGCAGATACTATTCCATGTGTATGTGAAACTCGCATCTCGTTAGCTACGCTATTTAAAAAGTTATAAATGAAAATATTTTGGTTTCCCCATAAGGTTACATTTGGATCGCAATGTTAACCTTATGGGAAAACCAAAATATGTTCGTCTATCACATTTTAAATTGCCTAGCTTGCGAGATGGGGATTTCACATGCACATGGAATATTAGTTTCAGAATACGATAGCATGTATAACTTAATTCTTTCTTAAGTCGACTTAGGCGGTTATTGCTTATGATCACAGATATATGTAGGTGTATATGTATTTCTTATGTGTACCTGGCCCAGATTTTTACATCAGTGCAAGTGCAACTAAAAGTAGAACCAATCGGGAGATAGACGAGGAATTGTCTCTGCGGCAATTACTATGCCGCTATTTGAGTGGTTGTGGTCGTAATGACAGGCGGTGTAATGGATGTGTGTGTAGGTTGCAACGATTGCAGCGAGCATTTACTACTAGTGCCTTGCACATATGATGTACATATGTAGCTGCTCTTTAATTGGCTTACTATGTCAAGGTGACAGAGTGTTTCCTCGGTTAAAGTTACCAGCGAAAAACGCTTCGTTTACTCAAGGACTTTATTTGTAACGATTGTTTTATCAGCTACTTTTATTTACCAAGAAACATGAAAGCAATTATGAAAGAAATTTTGTTTTTATATATGTATATACATATGTATGTACATTAGGGTGGCCCTTAAAAAATGACATTTTAAGTCTCACCCCCTCAGTCGCTAATACAACGGTCAAAGATATCACATATAAATTTTAGTCCCGATTGGAGACGGTTAAGGTGTGTCGCACAGGGGTCAAAGTTCAGATTCCTCTATGGAGACTCAAAAAATTTAATTCCATATTTTTTCATCTAATACCCAAAATCGATACTACTGTAGGCGCAGATATCACGTATAAATTTTGGTAACGATTGGAGTCAGTTAAGGCGTGTTTCACAGGGGTCAAAGTTCAGATTCCTCTATGGAGACTCAAAAAATTTAATTCCATATTTTTTCATCTAATACCCAAAATCGATACTACTGTAGGCGCAGATATCACGTATAAATTTTGGTAACGATTGGAGTCAGTTAAGGCGTGTTTCACAGGGGTCAAAGTTCAGATTCCTCTATGGAGACTCAAAAAATTTAATTCCATATTTTTTCATCTAATACCCAAAATCGATACTACTGTAGGCGCAGATATCACGTATAAATTTTGGTAACGATTGGAGTCAGTTAAGGCGTGTTTCACAGGGGTCAAAGTTCAGATTCCTCTATTTTGAGTCTTCATAGAGGAATCTGAACTTTGACCCCTGTGCGATACGCCTTACCCTACTCAAATCGGGACCAAAATTTATGTGACATCTTCGACGTTAGTAGTATCGATTTTGGGTAGTAGATGAAAAAAATATTAATTTTAATTTTTTGAGTCTCCATAGAGGAATCTGAACTTTGACCCCTGTGCGATACGCCATTATAAACTCAAATCGGGACCAAAATTTATGTGACATCTTCGACGTTAGTAGTATCGATTTTGGGTAGTAGATGAAAAAAATATTAATTTTAATTTTTTGAGTCTCCATAGAGGAATCTGAACTTTGACCCCAGTGCGACACGCCTAAACCGTCTCCGATCGGGACCAAAATTTTTGTGTGATATCTTTGACTATATTGCATCGATGTGGGGGTTGACGTTTAGGAAATCTGATGTAATAATGTACTTAATACATTTAAGGACCACCCTAATGTACATATATAGGTAATTTCCAAACAAAGTGTACTAGCCAGGTATTTTTTTAAGATTGAAAAAGTGAAAATTTTGGCAGAATACGAAACTGCTTTCGGGCCCTTCAAAATTACAGTTTTGTAAAATATTTTCCAGATTTTCACTTTTTATAAAAGTAAGCTAAAGTAATAAATATGTAAGTTTAGAAACTCATTTATTAGATAAGCTAATGTTGAAGTTTTTCCACCTTCTTTGTGACGTTAACGTGAGGTTTTTCTAGGAAGGCAGACTTTTTGTTTAATCTTTCTTCGGCAACAATTTCCCACACATGCCATTTGAACACTTTTGTAGAATAAGCGATTTAAACAAAAAATCCCTTTTTACCTAAAAGTGACATTCTGGAAAATATTTCACATTTACTGGTTGTTCGCAAAAGAAAACAAAACGGCGTACATTAATAAAACATCAGCTTTGTTGGTAGCTCTTTATTTGGATCGTATAATGTTGTTTTTGACTTTTCGTTTTTACATTTTGACCACCATTGTTTTCAAGATGCCGGTAATTTCACAACCCTCTGCTTCCCGAATTTACATATTCAGGCTAGCAGGTTCTGCTTAATGATGTGTCAGATTTTTGTTGCCGTGGCTCCGGATGCTACTTTTAAATTTCCGCCTTGGACCAAACGTAATTTGAAATTTCAGTTATCATTTGGTAAAATGTGTCAAAGGCAATTTTCTACATTTAAAAATTAAATGCTATGCTAATACTTCAGCGGTATACCGATTCTTGCAGATAGGCGCAACCCTTCCTGTGACAGTTGTTTCCAGGGAACGCTCCTTCTTAAGCTTAAATCATATTTACGAATCTGGGGAACAAATGTTAAGAGGTTTAGCTTTACTTAATATCCACAGAGATATAGAAGTTAAGAACGAAGAAATATTGAATACAATTTTTTCTTTTAAAGACGAAGCAGGAGAGAAATGATGTTTCTAATTTTTCATGCATGTAATCACTCTCGGCCGCTGCACGCTTCCACTCCGCAACGCCTGGGTTCAAGCCCTGGTCTAAGCAACATCGCAAAAAATATAGAAAACATGTTTTTTCTTAGCAGCGGTCGTCCCTCGGCAGGCAATGGCAAACCTCCGAGTGTATTTGTGCCATGAAAAATAGCTTCTCATAAAAATACAATCGCCGTTCGGAGTCGGCATAAAACTGTAGGTCCCTCCGCTTTGTGTGACAACATCAAGGCTCAAGACGCACGCCACAAATCGAAGGAGAAGCTCGGCCAAACACTAACATATGTGTAATCACTCATCATGTATGTAATCACTCGAATTTATTAAAAAAAATTCTCCCAAAAAAAATTTCTTGCCACCATAAAATAATTTAAAAAGGGACGAAAAAATAGCACTTTGTTTGGAAATTACCCATATATGTAACTATATTCGGTGGTAAAACATGATACGAGGGTCACTAAAAAGTCCTTAGAATACCTTATCAAAAAACAAATTTTGTCTGGTGGCATTTAAGCCCTAATCCTTTCATACTAAAATTTCCATACTTAGAGATAAGAAGAAGAGATAATTAGGGATAAAAGAGAGAGACGTTTTGAAAAGACAAGTTTTACTCTTCTAAATTCTATAAAATTTGGGCAACCTCACGTACGAGGTTTTGGATTTTCTTTTTTTTTTAGGCTAGGGACTTAAAACATAGCTCAGAACCCGATGACAAAGCAATATAAAAGATAAATTATTAAAAATTTATAGACCGATTTGGTTCATATTTGGAATGCATGCATATGACCTACAAGCAAAGACACAACTTCACACAAATTTTGCAGGAAGCTGGCGCTGGGGTCGAAATATTTCTAAAGACTGCATCTATGGTATGATTTAGTTTATATTTATAATATATACATATGTGTAATCTACATTAATAGCTCCACAAAAAATGTTGCCGATAGGTTGCGAAAGAGTCGAGATATTTGAAAACCCCGTATTTATGGTCCGATTTGATTCATATTTAGAAAGCTTGTTTTACAAATATTGTTTACTATTAGCGTATTCCTTTAATCGTCCAATACTGCTGGGAAATAAGTGGTTGTATACGACTTTGAATGAACTATTCTACGTTTCTCTAATGCCAATGTAGCCAGATGCCCCATTATTGCGAAAAAACAACCCAAAAGAACTCTTGACAGTCAGGGGCCTTTTGGAAGGGCTTTTAACTTCTGAAATTATCTACTGGGAAGCGACCATTTGTTTCGAAGTGTTTGCATGACAAAATGAAAAACTCAACATTTTCTTCTATATTCGTATAGTAATTGAGCAGCCCTTTATTCAGTAAAAAAATTACAACTGTTGATAGTTGAGATTTAAAGATATAGGCAATTATATGCGTTGGCATATCGTCCCAAAAACTATACATAAGAGGGGGCCACAAAATTGCGAATTGGGCAAGACTATATGCACACATTTTTTTGTAGTTATATTTGAAATATTTATGATTGCTTTTCCATGCTTTTAAATGTTAGCCTTTCCTATTTCTTTTTATCAGCCGAAGTAATTGGGTGATGTTACTTCACGTTAGGTTCCTTAAATTTCCATTGAAAAAGTTTTTTTAATATTATTTTTAATCGAATTTTTAACGCAAATTAAACATGGATTTAATGTCGAATATATTTTTTATTTTGACTTAGCAGTGTGCGATACCATTCCAAAGGGCCTGGGTACGAGCTCAGTTTCACAACAACATCAAAAATAATAAGAAATTAAGTTTTTTCTAATTGCGGTCCCCCACGGCAGCAATGGCAAAGCTCCGAGTGTGTTGTGCCTTAAAAAACAGCTTCTCAAAAAAACACAAGCGCCATTCGTAGTCGGCGTGAAACTGTAAGTCTCTACTGCGAATTCTAAAGACATCTTCAGGGTCCCTCATAGTTTGTAGTTTTCTTTTGGTTAGGTGGTTAACTAGCAGATAGTGTTGATCTTGGAACAGAATCCAATTCTGTTTAGGCTTTAGGCTTTTCGACACTACGCCTGACAAAGTGGGTGCAGAGTTCGCAATACTGATGCACCAAAAAATTGGGAGAAATTTGTTGATGTGAAAACAGGGACTCTATTAGTAAACTTCGGTGGGAGCGAGTGTCTTTGAAGGAGCAATTTTAACACTTGTATATACATACATACATACATTAGTTATAATGGGCGAACAAGAGTCCGTAGTCCCATAGCTATTTGTTCATAGACAGAAATAAGTTACATATTTGTGGCGATATTTCGGTTTACGAGTTTTCTTAACAACCGAAAAGCTGTTGAGGTAATTATAATTGCGGTAATTAATTCGATTAGTGCAAATATAGATAATCTGCGAGCAGCCGCAGGTTCATTTCCTAGCATTTTCTGGATCATAATTAAGTATTTATTACGACAATCTTGGTTCTTAAAAATAAGCCTTGTTTGAGACTCGTGACGTAAATTTTCGATACTTTCAATTATCGATCGATACTCGATACTTTGGAACGAAGTATCGAATAAAAGTGCTTTACATTATTCCGTTAAAAAACCCTTATACCAAAGCCGATAAAAATCTTTTAATCTTATGTTCTTACGCGTAGTGGCTCTTTTTTAGTAAAAACGTTTTCAATCTAAAACACTGCATAAAAACTATTGGATTGCTGTTGAAGCTTATTGTTACCTTTATATACTTACCATAAATAATTTTTAACTGTTTCACCTATTTGGCCCATTGATTACCCTCGACTATGGCAGACGCTAAAAAACTTTTGTGAGCTTACTTAGATTTTTTATCAAAAGTACTCCAAAGAGAAATGCTGTTTGTTTGATCCACGTTGTGTTCCGGTAAATTATCATTTTGAAACCTCAATTGCTCAACAGTACCAAATACATACTATTTGATACTCGATACTATTCACATCACTATTTGAGATACATAATCAAAGCGGAAGTAGTGCAACACCCATGAAAATTTGCAGCTCTGTTGGAATTGCTAAATTGGTCTAATTCTGTTAGATATTCACATCGAATGTGATACTTAAACGCAAGAATGATAGAATACAAGATTGCGCCGATCGGAGAGGATTTTTGAGAATAACTTGTGTGTGACGTCACACTGGTGCAATTGCGAGAGAGAAATGCCAAAACGTGAGCAAGAATGGAAGAAGAAGAAAAAATGTTGCAAGGAAAACGTAAACAAGTTGCACCAGTGTGACGTCATGCAAACAGCGATTCTGTCAAATTCGTTAAGAGAGGAATAGCGGTCCGAGATCGGCGCAACCTTTGTATTCTCTCAATCGTGATTTAAACCAATCATGCAACCCAGTGGTTGGGATTGCATCTCGAACAAGCCCCAACGTATGCATGTACATAAAAGACGTAAAATCTTCCTGCTTGATAAATGCCTGTAGCTTTCGACTTCACACCTCTTCTAAAAGCCTGATTATAGCAACTTAACTTAAGTTAACGGAACTTAGAACTTAGGAAATCAAAACGAAACAGATTTCAACGTGGCATTAAGTTACGTTAAGTTTCGGCTGTTCAATTATAAGCCAAGAATGATAGAATACAAGATTGCGCCGATCAGAGAGGATTTTTGAGAATAACTTTTGTGTGACGTCACACTGGTGCAATTGCGAGAGAGAAATGCCAAAACGTGAGCAAGAATGGAAGAAGAAGAAAAAATGTTGCAAGGAAAACGTAAACAGGTTGCACAAGTGTGTCGTCATGCAGACAACGATTATGTCAAATTCGTTAAGAGAGGAATAGCGGTCCGAGATCGGCGCAACCTTTGTATTCTCTCAATCGTGATTATAAGCAACATCCATTTAAGAGAATTTTTAAGTGAAAGCCTGTAAGTTACGTTAAGTTGCCAAAATCAGACCATAAGTTCTTGCCAATTCGCTTGCAATCGAAAAGTCGGTTTATCGCGTTATAGGTTTTGAAGTATTTTATTCTAAAAACTTTTTAAGTACGTTTTGTATTCTACAAACAATTACGAATAATTTTATACCTTAGCCAGAGGTGTGCTTTAAGAACAAACCAATCTTTAAAGATAAAATATTGTGCGATCTTGAGCGTAATTTTTGTACCAAAAACATCTTAATTGAAGGCACATTTGGAAAATACGTCGAAACGATCTAAATCTTTGTGTAACTACTAGTCCATATATCGTTACAATATACCTGTAAAATGCTTAAAATTTTTGTTCTAGAAGTGTGTAAAAACCCCGATTTACTATTTTTAATGATGCGCCTTCTTTTAGTCAGAATATTTCGAGCAGGGTATCAAATCAACTTTTTTTTGACAAAGACTCTGATAGTTGTCTCTACATACTTAATTGGAGCCTTTAAATTTTATTAAATTTAAGGAGTTATATTTTAATTAACTATTTTATAAAAAACTCCCTAATTTTTTAAGATATTTTACGAAAATTTTGAACACGATTGTATTTGAATATTTCCTTCACTATCTCTTAAAATCATCAAAGTCGGTTCACTATAACCTCTAGCTCGCATACAACTGATTGTTTAGAGACGTTGTTTTGTGTTATAACTCCTCCAATTAAGCAGGTACAAATTTAGTATAGGTTCATTTTAACATATTGCACGCATACATTTTTTTATTCGTATATGCAATTACAGTTATAGCGCAAAAATACAAATCTGAGTCATCAGTTGTGTTGGAGCTATATGTTAAAGTGAACCTATTTCGATAATTTTGCGCAATAATTAAGGTAATATTAAAAACCCGTTATGTGCAAAATTTTAGTAAAATAACTTCAAAACTGAGGGAGTAATTTATAAAATAAAAAAATAAATATCAAATAAAAAAATCTGGTAAAACGGGGGATACTATTGAATTTCGAGCGTTTAATTAAGTGAGTTCAACTTTCAAAATCTTTGCTCAAAATTTAAACTTGCACAGCGTAGTTTTGTGCGATCTAAATGTTTATTCCTCATCTAACTTTTGAAGCACTTGATGAAAATGAATTACACTTATATTTATCGATTTATTAAGAGATTACGAATAGAATCATACATAAAACATAGGTGTGCCCACAAATTAAAAAATTAAACTTTTTGTTTTGAAAGTATACGTGTTTTTTAGATTTGCCCATATACATACATATGTATGTATGTATGTATCTGCATACATGGGGATGGATGATAATACCTACTTTATTTATGTGTATGCATATGTATGTATGAAATTGCAACTTTACTCACCCAAGATGAACATTTCTTATATGTCTTTCGATTTTCTTGTTTGTGTGTTCTATGTGTTTGCAGCCTTTCCAGGTACATCTGAATCTGGATTTGTTTGTCTGTGGAGAAAGAGAAAATTAAAGATTAGAAGTTTTTCCAAAGGCTATACATACATATACATACAGTATCGGCCATATCTATAGCACGCCATTTCAAAGTGATATTGTGTGCAACTTATGTTTATTTATTTATTTTTGAGAATTTTCAATTAAAATACAGTTCTTTCTCTAACAAACCCCATATAAATCCAAGTTTAACAATTTGTAGAAAACTTCAAAAAAGTGCAACAAATTTTCACCTAAATTTCAAACTTTTTTCTCAGAATTGAAAATTCTTAAAAATAGATAAATAAACATAAGTGGCACACAATATCACTTTGAAAAGGCGTGCTATAGATATGACCGATACTGTATATATGAAATTTTAAATATTATAGTGAAAAATATATACATATATGTATATATATAGATGCGAGTAAAATAATAGCAGCAAAATTCAAAATAATGCTGTTGGCAACTTCTGTTTATTTATTTATTTTTTACAATTTTCATTTAAAATATATGTCGATCTACATACATATATTAGAAACCGCATAACAGGTCTATTCTGCACGTTACCGAAGATTTTGTGACCGGAAAATTTTATTACCAAAAAATCTTACCACTTCTTGTCACCGCGATTCTAGGTACGTTGGTAATGCAGTGAAAATATTATGCAATTCAGCTATGAAGATTTGTGGAAATTCCTGTATTGCATATTTCAAGGGGCAATATTTTGTTACTAGCTTATGAGATGGGAACCAAATTTACCGGTTACAAGAGAGGACAGAATGCGAAAAAGGTTTAAAAATTGACAGACACTTTAATTACCGGTTACAAAATTTATGTTACCAGCACAGAATAGACTTGTAAATAAAAGTTTCAAAGCTTGCACAGAGTTCACAGACAGGTCTATTCTACGCTGATAACAAAAATTTTGTAACCGGTAAATAAAGTCCCTGTAAATTTGTAAACCCAAAATATTTCCCCGTGAAATATGCAATGCCAGAATTTCCACAAATTTTCGTAGTTGAATTGTTGAACATTTAACTGCACTGCCAACGTGTTTAAAATCGCGGTGACGGGAACTGGTAACATTTTTTGGTAATACACTTTTCCGGTTACAAAAGTTATTGTTGAAGCTTCAAGTCGCTAAAAATTACTGTTGATTTTTTAGAATTCTTTTGTAAAGGGTGTTGCGCATTTTTTTCCATATAAAAATAAATTTTGTTCATGCGTTATATGGAAGAAAATGCTCAACACCGTTGACAAACGAAAAATCTAAAAAATCAACGGTAATTTTTAGCGACTTAAACCTTGCATTAAAATTGAATGGGCTACAAAACTTCATGAGCTTTTTTTAAGTTTAATCAGTTTTTGTGAACTTTGTGCAAGCTTTGAAATTTTTATTTATGCGGTTTCTGATATATGAAGATCGACAATTACTTTAAATGAAAATTATTAACAATAAATAAATAAACAAAAGTTACAAACAGCATCATTTTGAATTCTGGTACTACTATTTTACTCGCAGCTGTATGTACATATGTATTAGGTTGAACCTTATAATATCAACATATTAATTGTTAATTAACAATTGAAAAATGTTGAAAGTATTTCCAAGAAAGGATGACTGGCAAATGGCGATGACTATGCAAATTTTCAATAAAATGCCAAATTTATCAGATTTAAATTTTTTCACATCTAAAAATTGTATTGAAATTTTGAAATATTCTTTGAAGTTCTTATTTTGTACATAGAATAAAATAAAGGGTTGTCCGATACTAAATTTAGACTTCCATATTTTTAGGGATTACCCTAATACATATATACATACATATATACGTATGTATGTAAACCAAGATTATTCAAGTTATCAAAAGAAATTTTAGTATATGGTTCCCTACTCTGAGGCTGGATGGCCTTGTTTGTCTGTAATGATCCCGCATTCTGTTTCACGCAACAAAGCTTGCTGATAGCTTTAATGAGTTAATTACTTTAACCGAAGAAGTGGTAGGCGAGTGTGGACACTGATATCAAGCTTTTAATCACTGTTACATATTAGAATCGCGCGCGAAAACGAGCCGTAATATCCGTTAGGACTGCCAAGTGAAATCTACGACCGGCGCCGTGCCGGCTCCAACTTCGAATGTATTGGTGTGCTAAGTGAAAACACCGCTAGCCGGGATGATAACACGAAGGGCGATGTATAAATCGCGACTTCAAAACGAGTCCATCATGTACATTCATATCTATGCATGCTTGGATATGTACATAGGTATAAGCATGGACAAAGTGCATATGCAACATAGTATATATGTATATATATGTATGTAGATTTAATGTGGGGTAAGTTGGCGAGGTGGCCAAGTGAGGCATGGTGCAGGGCACTGGAAAGAGTACAGTGTACTTGTAGCATTAATATTTTGGCGTATCCTTGTAACACTAAGCAAAATTGAAGTGCATAGAGTAAAAATGAAGGCAAACGAGAACGAGGACAAACATGCCAAGGAGACAATTCAAAAGTAAGATGATGGCAAGTGGCAAGTAGAGGGTTCACTGCTTTATGTATTTACGCCTAACACATAGAAATTTTACTAGGTCAATTGCATTTTGCATAGGATACCCTGCAAGAACAGTGACTATCATTTGACAAATTATTTGAGTGGCAAGACTGATAGAGATTTCTGTCACTGGCTACCTACAAGTTTCTATCAAATTTTAAAGGGCAGTGTGAAAAATCTGATGTAAACATTTGTGTACATATGATCTTCCGTCTTCCTCCAACTTATGGCGTTATTTAATGGTCTCTTTTTAACCAACGCGAAATTTGCAAATGTGTTGGTAAGATAAATGAGAACGTGTTAGTTTCCATCACACAAATCTTGTAGGGATAGTAAATATATTTACGTATATGTATACATACTAGAGTGGCAAACTATCGATACATATCTACATACATACATATGTATGTATGCATGTATGCATATAATTTCGATCAGACATTTACGAATTACGAAGTGTTTGTTTTAACCTTTGATTTACATACATATGTAGAAACATATCCACAGGTATGTAATTCACCAAAACAAGCAGAAGTATGTACATACATATGTATGTATATATGTACATATGTATATATGCATATATTTACTTAATTTCATACTATGTACATGCGGGCGCATATGTACATAATGCACTCAGCAAATTCTTAAGGTCCCGCTTGCCTTGTGTCTGGTTGGGCGTTCCTATATTGCACCGTTGNCATGTCCACAATGACTATTTTCATATAAAAATGCAAGAAAAACTCGGTTTTCTCGAAATGAGTAACCGGTACAGAAAAACCGATTTCATTTTTGAAATTAGAGGGGCATAATACTTCTAGGTGTGAAGTTTCAGCCAATTCTGACCACTCCTTCTATTTTTGTCCATGATTTGTATGGAGTCGCGGCACTGTGCGTTGACCTGATTTCGTGCAGAGGATGTTATGCATGGATGTATGTACATACTTATTTAAATATTTATAAGTATTTCATGCAATACATACGTACATATATGTGTACATATACATTAGCGTGGGCCGAAAATCCGCTTTTTTAGAATTTTGATTGGTAATACCAAAAACATGATTCATTATGCTTTAAAAAAAATTTATGTGAAATTTAGAATTTTTTGATCAATATCCTAGGCTCGCCCAAGTCCATCAAAGTTCAAGTAAAAGTGAACCATATTTTTGCTATTACCAATCAAAATTCTAAAAAACGGATTTTCGGCCCACGCTAATATACATACTAATAATATTTTTGCGATTAAACTTTTTTTCCTCCAGTTTATGGTCTGGCTATAAATGAAGGACCTTCAGTTTTACGCAGCTTCCGAACGAGTGACGGATATAGAACATTGGGATCAACTTGTCAAATAAGGTTAAATTACCTGAACATCTAAAACGATTCACCGATAAAGTTCGAGATGAATGTAGTTATCAATATCCTACTAGCATCCAACTGGCTTGAACCCTCATTTATTTCATAAGCAAATCTATATATATAAAACAATAGCCGTTTTCGTTGTTCGGAGTCAACTCAAAAGCTAGGGGGCGCTGGGGTCGAGTTATTTATAAAAGCCGTATTTATCAACCGATTTCGTTCAAATTCAAAACGTCTGCTACCTCTATGATAAGAAATATGTATGCAAAAAATAGAGCCACTAGGTGGCACTGGAGTCGATTTATTTATAAAAATCGTATTTATGAACCGATTTGTTTTAAATTCCAAATGTGAGCTACCAGCATGATGGAAAATACGTTTCCAAAAAATAGACCCGCTTGGTAGATTTATGAACCGATTTTTTTAATGCAAATTCGAAACGATTATTACTCTCTGATGATTTTTTTTGCATTCGAAACATATATATATATACATTAAAGTGGACCAATTTTGGTAAGGGGAAAAAATTTTCATTCTAGAAAACGGGGTACCCCGTTAGTTTTTTCCTTTTAACATTTGTAATATCTATAACAACTTTCAGTTTTCTACTGCAACTAATACAGGGTGCTCAATGGCCTTGAAATGCGCTTTCGGATCGCTGCGAAACTAACAAAAATATTGGTGATTTTTATAAAAAGGTACTGTTGCCATGACAACTGAAACTTGTGATATTTTTTTAGATTATTTAAATTTGAAATGTTCTTAGGTTACTTAACCAATTCTTTGATTAATATATATACACAATACTTTTACAGTAAGATATGTGCACCATGAGCAACTTCTAAATGTATACATAGAAACGTAAGGTTTGGTACCAGCCCCTCTTTCGGCAAAAAAAATTTTGGAAGGTGCCCCAAACATTGTCTTGGAAAATTTTTCTTTGGACCACTCTAATGTACATACATACACAAAATAATAGCCGTTTTCGTTGTTCGGGGTAAACTCAAAAACCAGTAAAATTGTCGGAGGTTATACCTTGCGAGGCGGGGATTTTCTTGGGCCTCCTATAACTGAAAACTGGTTCACGGACCAATG